ATGGAGGAGACGACGGTTCGAGGAGAAGATTCTACCGATCCGATTGCTGCAATTCCAGGTCTGTTCGATTCTATGTGTTTGATTTTGTTTGATTTATGAGATTTAGCATGTTGAAGATTTAGTTTGTTTTTATTGGTAGTTGTTCAGTATGTATGCAGTTTGAATGTTCATAATGTCGTAATTGTGTATTAGTACCATGTTTCTGTTATGAATTTTACAATATAAGATTATGTATTTTCTGTTACGCAATTATGAATTTTGATACTCTGTTCATGCATGTGGTATGAATGTTCATAATGTAACAGTACTATAAACATTGACATTGCTGGTATGTTACCCTGTTTGCATATACTCAGTGAATGAAGAATTTGTTGGTGATTCAATAAGCACTGATCAAGCAGAGTTAAACATTGACACTGCTGGCTCGTCTTCAAGTCCAAGTTCTTTTTATTAGTTTGTGTATCATGAATGTGGTTTCTAGTAGTTGTAGGTAATGATTAATGGTGATTATATGCAATTTGAATGTTAGTTATGTTGTGATTGATATTAATACTTTGTTCATGTTATGAATTTACAGTTTTGATGTTATGAATTTTCTGTTGTGTTATTATGAATTTTCTATATGAGATATGATTTTTATGTTATGAGATTATGAATTTTATGTCATGAGTATATGATTTATGTGTATCTGTTATTGATGGAAAATATGTTCTTCTTATGTAGAGCATGACTGGATTTATTCGGCATTCCCCGCCCCCCCTCTACGTAAATGAAGAATATATTTCCATCAAACTTATTTTTGTTATGATATTATTCACTATCTATGCAGCTTTGAATGTCCATAATGTCACAAATGTTATTGATACTTTGTCTCTGTTATGAACTTTCTGATATGATATTATGAATTTTCTTCTTTGTGATTATGAATGTTCTCACATGAGATTATGAATTTTCTATTGTAGCATATTATATTCATTATAGGTGAACTGCACATTCATATTTTAGTAGTTGGTATAGGTGTGGTTATATTTTTGTTGCAATTGCAGTTGATGAAGACTTGGTTGGTGTTGTAGTAAGCAATGGTGACGAAGCTTTTGAGTTATATAATGGATATGCATACAGAGCTGGTTTTAGTGTGAGGAAAGGCCAACAACGTTATAAGGCATCTACTAAGTCAATTCAGATGAAGAGGTTCTTCTGTGCTAAGGCTGGGTATAAGGAGAAACCAAATAGTGGTGTTAAGCTTTATTCAAAGATAGATATGAGGACTGGCTGTGGTGCACTTGTTCAGTTTGATGTGGGGGGTGATGGGATGTGGACAGTTACAAAACATGTGAAAGAGCACAATCATGAGTTATGTTCATTTGGCAAGAGTCATCTGCTCTGGTCGCATAGAAGAGTGGAAACAATCATCTTGAATATTTAAAAGACATGAAGAATAGTGGTGTTGCATTGGCGGATGGTATGAGGTTTTTCAAACATCAGTCAGGGGGTTCTCCATTGGTTGGCTTTACCAACCGCGATGCTTACAATTCGATGGCTTCTGTGAGTTTGAAGTGTTTGGATGGAACTGATTCCAATTCTTTGATTGAAATATTCAGGAGGAGGCAATCTAATGAGGCTGATTTCTTTTTTGATTTCGAAGTTGATTTGGATGGAAGATTGTGTAGTTTTTTTTGGAGGGATGGTCAAATGAGAAGGGATTATGAGGTGTTTGGTGATCTGTTAGTGCATGATACAACATATCGCACTAACAAATATGATATGATTTGGGGTCCTTTTGTAGGGATGAACCATCATTGCATGAATGTAATGTTTGGATGTGGGTTTTTGATGAATGAGAGGATAGAGTCATTTGCGTGGTTGTTTAGAGCGTTTTTAAGATCCATGGATGGCAAGTGTCCACAGACTATCATGACGGATCAATGTTCAGCTATGGCTGCTGGCATTTCCATGGTGTTTCCTACATCACGCCACCGTCTTTGCATATGGCATATTGGTAAGAACTCAATTCAACATGATTTCTAAATAGAATAGAGTTTAGAAACTTAGCTCAATTCAATCATGCCCATTTCGTGTCTCAATTTCGAAAATCTTGATTCACACAGAGGCTTTGTGAGAATATCAGCTAATTGATTCTCGGTCGGGATATATTCGATTGATAATTCCTTCTTTTCAACATGATCCCGGATAAAATGATGTCTCACATCAATGTGTTTTGTTCTTGAATGCAACACGGGATTGTGTGTTATGGCAATAGCACTTGTATTGTCACACAGTATATTGACATTTTCACAATTTACGCCATAATCTTTCAGCTGTTGTTTCATCCAAAGAATTTGCGCACAACAACTTCCAGCAGCTATATATTCAGCTTCGGCTGTACTTGTAGCTATGGAGTTTTGCTTTTTGCTGAACCATGAAACCAACCTTCCCCCTAAGAACTGGCACGTTCCTGAGGTACTTTTGCGATCGATTTTACATCCTGCAAAATCTGCATCTGAGAAACCAGTTAGTGTAAAGTTACCTTCTTTGGGATACCATAATCCCACATTGACTGTTCCTTTTAAGTATCGGATGATTTTCTTGGTAGCAAGAAGATGACTCTCTTTTGGCTTTGACTGGAACCTAGCACATACTCCCACTGAATAAGATATATCTGGTCGACTTGCAGTGAGGTATAGTAATGATCCAATCATTCCTCGATATTTTGTTTCGTCAACATCCTTGCCTTCATCATCTTTATCTAATCGTAAAGATGTGCTCATCGGGATCTTGATTGAGGATTTTCCATCTTGACCAAATTTCCTTATAAGATCCTTCGTGTACTTGGCCTGATTTATGAATATTCCTACGCTGAGTTGCTTTACTTGTAGTCCAAGAAAGTAATTCAATTCTCCCATCATGCTCATCTCAAACTTATTCTGCATGAGCTTAGAAAATTTCTCACAAAGAATTTTATTAGTACTTCCAAAGATAATATCATCAACATAAATTTGTACCAATAAAATGTGATCATTTTCTTGAATTCTAAATAAGGTTTTATCAACAAGGCTTTTTGTGAAACCACAGTTAATTAGGAACATTGATAGGGTGTCATACCAAGCTCTCGGTGCTTGTTTTAACCCATATAACGCCTTCTTTAACTTGTAGACCTTATTAATATCACCTTTTACCTCGAAACCGGGAGGTTGCTCGACGTAGACTTCCTCTTCAAGTAATCCGTTTAAAAATGCACTTTTCACGTCCATTTGATAGACAGTGAAATTCTTGTATGCGGCATAAGCTAGAAATATTCTGATGGCTTCTAGTCTTGCAACGGGTGCAAATGTTTCATCGAAATCTATGCCTTCTTCTTGTGAATATCCTTTTGCCACTAAATGTGCTTTATTTCGAATGACGATTCCATCCTCATTAGCTTTATTCCGAAAGACCCATTTTGTTCCAATTACATTGTAATTTTCAGGTCTTGGAACTAATTCCCATACGTCATTTCTCTTAAACTGTTCAAGCTCTTCTTGCATTGCATTGATCCAATCTGGATCACTTAGTGCTTCTTCAATGCTTGTGGGCTCCACCTGAGAAAGAAAACAAGAGAATAAAGAATTTATACTTGAGGACCTTGTTTTTACTCCTTCTCGTGGATCTCCAATCACTAGCTCTGGAGGGTGATTTTTGAGCCATCTCAAGTCGGGTTGTAGGTTGCATGGGCTTCCCACGTTTCCTTGTTCAGTAGGTAAATTGGAGGTAGACACATTTTGCTCATCAGATTGATCTCCAATTTGTATATTGACTTGAGAGTTTTGATTTTCCACGTGTGCATCTTCATTGGCTTCCACGTATCCTTCACTATTGCAATCAATGTCCAATTGCTCCATACCCTGTACAATTTGATCTTTAAAAGATATGTCAGCATCATTAAATGATTTTTCAACTTGACAAATCTCCTGATCATTTTTGTTGCTTTGGGTTTCCTTCATATGAGCTTCATCAAATGTGACATGAATTGATTCTTCTACCACCATTGATTTCTTGTTCAATACTCTGAATGCTTTACTGGTAGATGAATATCCCAAAAATATTCCTTCATCTGCACGCTCATCAAAAGTCTTTAGATATGTTTTTCCATTATTAAGAATAAAACATTTGATACCAAAAGTATGGAAATAGTTGAGTTTAGGTTTTCTCCCTTTCCATAATTCGTACGGAGTCTTATTGTAAGACTTATGTATCAAACTCCGATTTTGTGTGTAGCAAGCGGTGTTGATTGCTTCAGCCCAATATCTTTTAGGTAGCTCGGCTGACGTAATCATCACTCGTGCGGCTTCTTTTAGCGTTCTATTTCTTCTTTCGGCTACACCGTTTTGTTGAGGTGTACGTGCGGCAGATAATTGATGTAGAATTCCTTGGGAATTGCAGTAGGCTTCAATCACTTGATTCACGAACTCAGTTCCACGATCCGTTCGGATTTTTGCAATTTTCAAGTCTTTCTCATTTTGTAGTAGCTTCAGTAGCTCTGGCAACTTTTGCTCCACTTCATTTTTCTTTTTGAGAAATATTGTCCATGTGTACCTGGAAAAGTCATCAACAACAACTAGTGTATATTTCTTACCACATAGACTTGCTGGGTCTACTGGACCAAATAGATCCATGTGTAGTAGACTTAGCGGTCTTGTTGTAGATTCTTGAGCTTTGGATTTGAAAGATGACTTGACTTGCTTTCCTCTTTGGCAAGCATCACATATTTGATCTTTCTTGTAGACAATGTCGGGTAGACCTTCAACTAATTTGTTTCTTGCTAGCTTGTTGATAGTCTTGAAGTTTAGATGATTCAACTTCTTGTGCCATTCCCAACTTGTTGCGTGTGAGTTGTTTGCTAGTAGACACACTGATTCTTTTGTTGTGTTCCAATCCACAACGTACATATTTTTCTTTCTTATTCCTTCAAGAACAACTTCTCCTGTGGAATTATTTTTCACTTGGCACTTCTCTTTGAAGAACTCTACTAGATATCCTTTGTCACAAAATTGACTTGTACTTAACAAGTTGAATTTTAGACCTTCAACAAAGGATACATCTTCGATTTTCAAACCATTTCGAAATATTGTACCGATTCCTTTTGGTATGCCGTATCGTTCTTTTCCACCGAATACGACTTTTGGTCCTTCGATATTTTTAAGATTCACAAGACTTGATTTATTTCCAGTCATGTGTCTAGAACATCCACTATCGAAGTACCAAACTTCCTGCAAATGAATTAAACATTTTTAGGTACCCAACTTGACTTGGGTCCTTGGGTGTTAGTCATTTTTGGTACCCAAATCCACCTTGTACTCACTGATCTAAGTTTAGGTGATTGGTAACCATTAAACACATTATAATCATATTTAATTTTTGAAAACATTTTTTGTGCCGGTTTTTGAAAATTGACTCGATTTCTTGACACGTGCAATATAGATTGTTTGGGCCTGTGATAAGCATTAAATCTAGACTTAGTCCATGGTTTAATATTTCCAAACCAATCTTGTTTAGAGGGATAGAATCTCCCTGCCTCAATCCTCGGATTTCTTCCCATTTTCCTATGAGGACTTTGTGCACTAGACTCATTGGTATACTTCCATTTAGGAACAACCTTTTGTCTTTTAATGTACTGTTTGGACGAAATATTGTTTCTTTGATGCTTTAGTCCAACAGTGTTAATTTTGACATCAGTTTGGTAACCAATTCCTTGTCTCACTGTGCTTTCTTGACCTTTTACAAATTTTACTACTTGAACTTTATTACTTAAAGTAGTAGTAGAATTGGTCAATTTTTCGGAGGCTTGAGAACACGATGGATCATAACCAAGTCCGGTTTTATCACTTGAGGGTTTTTGTACATTTACCATTTTGTCCATTATTTTGGATGAATGCGTAAATGTTGCTATCTCTGAGGTTGTGTTCTCTCACTTCCCTTGATTTACACTCTTCTTGAAGACAAATAATTTTATCTTTCAAGTCTTTCACTTCAAGTAGAGCATTTTGCAATTCTTCATTTAATTGATCTTTTTCAAGAATCAGATGATTATTGCGCTCTTTGAGTTGAGAGTGAGTGTCCATTACGGTTTGACATTCTTCCATTAAGTGAAAGAGGGACTCTCTAGAAAATGAAGAATTAACAGAGTCATAAGATTTAGATGTTACCTCATTTTCTTCATGTCCATTAGCCATAAGACACATGTCCTCGTGTGGTGTGTTGTTGGAGATGCTCATGCAAAACATTGCATTGTCATCCTTTGAGGTGTCACTTTCATCACTTGAAGATTCTTCTGACTCACTTATTTCAAGTGGGTCACTGATGAGTGCTTTTCTTCTTTCTTTTAATCTTTTATCTTTGGGCTTGAATTCTTCCTGCTGAGGGTTAGTAACATTTGTGTACTGACTTTTA